GTTTGTTTTATTATTTGGTTTTCTGCCGACCCAATTGATTTTTTTTTGGTTTTTCTGGTGACCTATTTGATAGTTTTTTTTTGGGTAGTGAACCATTATAAAGAATTTAATTTTCTGAGAATCCAATAGTGGAAAAAAAGTTTTTTTCTTTCTATAATTTATTATTTATGTCTGTGCATGAACTTACATTTTTGTGTGTTCTTTCTTGCTTGCAGCTTACGTACGGTTTAGGGGTTTTCGATTACGTAGAATAATTATTGGTGTTTTTTTCCTTTTATTTTTGTGTTGTTATTATTTTTTTTCTGCGGAGAACTTTTCCTTTTGGGTTTTAATGGGTGAGTTTAAACTTCGGGAGTTTACGTAATGTATGGATGTATTGTGTTGTTATAAGGCAGCAAGGGATTTACAAAGAAATTAAAAAAAAAACGAAAAAGAAAACAGAGGAGGCAGCGGAACGAAGTTGTCTGGCACTGATAGGCAATCGTAGCTGTCCTTATACACATTTCCATTATCAGCATTTTAAAACACTGAAATGGTACTGGCAAAGAAAAAAGAAAAAGGAAACATTGAAATGAGAATGCTGGGTTGGGTTCATGGGCTTTTAAAGTCCCATTGCAAGGAATAGGTTTAAGATTCCTAGAATCCCATTCCGCCAAACAAATATAAGCTAAAAGTTAGTGGTTTCTGTGTCCTGGAGTAGTAAAAGATCATGCCTGTTATGAAGCTTTTCTGTGAGCGTGTGCTGCAAAAACAACGTGGAATTAAGACCATCTAGTCAAATGTATGTTTAGCTTGTGCATTTTGAAGTAGGCTGACCTTTTTCATCTGAATCAGTGTTTTTTGAATTTTTTCCCTTTCATATCTGTTTGTTAGTCCCTTTTCTTTGTTTTCCATACAGGTTTTCTTCATATTTCTTGAATTTGTATAAGGGTTGGTTTGTTTGAATTGGAAATAATTTGTTATGCAGGTTTTTGACCTCTCAGATGTGAAGCCTCATGAATTCGTTCAGTATGGATTGGGTTGTCTAGAGTTATTGGCTGATCTTGGTGACATTTGTGCGAAAGAGTGTCGTCAAAAGATCAGGGTTATGGTATGACATTGCGGCACATTTACTTAAAGCCCTTATCTCATAATTACTCTGACTTTTGGCATCTAGTGGGATCCCTACAGCAATATATTGGAATGATTGTGCAGGTTGCGGGGGGTGATGGTACAGTCGGTTGGGTATTAGGTTGCCTATCTGAACTAAACAGACAGGGTCGGGAACCAGTTCCTCCGGTAGGAATTGTTCCACTTGGCACGGGAAACGATCTGTCTAGGAGTTTTGGTTGGGTAAGCTATCTTTTTGCAATGTATTTTGAGTTTGTGGAGATTTTCTTGCATGATTGAGCAATGGGTATATATGTTATCACCAGGGTGGTTCATTCCCTTTTGCCTGGAAATCAGCCATTAAAAAAACTCTATTCAGGGCTACTGCAGGTCCAATATGCCGTTTGGATAGGTAAGCCTATTAGGTAACAGTTTGTATATGTTTTCAAGTAGAAGGCTTGTAGAGTTAAGGCCTTTCTCTAATCTTTTCTAATGAATGATTGTGTAGCTAGCTACTTTAGAAGTTGCGTGCAGCTAATATACTGAAATTTAGTATGATTCAGGTCCTTTTTTCCCCTATAGGAGATTCAGTACCTTTATTCTTGCACTGTGAATCTTTTTCCCTTTTTGAAAAAATTTACAACTCTTCAATGTGTTCTTGAAATTTTATTTCACTTGACTCTGCATTCACCTTTGTGCATGTGTGTCACTCTCATTTCCAGGGTCAGTTTTGTTAGCAAATTGATTGCATTTGAGATGTGGGTTCCTCTTTTTTTTTTATCCCTTGAAAACAATGTTGTGGTTCCAATTCAGCCTGTTTCGTTTCATGGATTTGTCTAACTAATTTTTATTATTTTTTATTTTCTGTTTACTTCCCCCCTCCCTCCTGAAGGAAAATGTCTTACATAATAAACCTTTTGCAAATGGAGATTTGGTATTATTTGGTGGTTGGTCTGGTTTTTCGGCATGTTATAGGCAAGCTTAATGTTGAGTTCTCACCCTTACCTGTTTATATGCTATGTAGCCTATAGTTTTGTGGGTTTCTTATATACAAATAATTTGGGATGAGGC